TATGATCTGACAAAATGGAAAAATGATCTGGCAATAAATTCACCTAATTTAGACATAAATTACAAAATATTTGCAGGCACAATACAGCAACTATTCAGGCTAAAGGACAACTGTAAAACCTATCAGTAAAACAATATTTAACAGTAAAGTTCTCAACAGCTTAAATTATACATGAGTCAAATACATCTCGCAACACTGCCTATATCAAATAATGTCAAGACAAAAAAAGAAATATTAATTTAGAGTCAAATGCAGGTTGCATCAAAATAAACAATACTGAGGTAATGAATCGAAATTTCCTGATAGCATGGCTAGCTGATTAATGTTGGTTCTGATTGGCTGTTTCTGACTGAGCGGAGTAATTCTGCAGAACACAGGGAGGATGGAGATCGATTATCTGTTTTATGTTATTACATAGCTTAAGTTTTAATACATATGTAAAATCTTTCTTTTGTTTATCAAGTTACATGCTGCAGCTATAAGCAGACATTCGGTGTGAGAGTTAACTGCGGGTGGAGTTGCTGCGCACTTGCGCAGTGTGAAGGACGGAGGAGATCAGCTGCGATCACCGATCACACACTTTTTTATGGAATCCTGCCGATTATGATCGGTAGCCGATCGATCGGCACACCTCTAAAAATAACACTTTCAAAGAAATTTGGACCCACTTTTTATGAAAGAGGAAATGGTGTACAACAGAGTTGAAACTGAGAAATGTGCCTGTCTTTCACATAGTGCAGGATCTGTCTAACAAAAGCACGTGGTATGCGGATAAAAATGTTTAGAAGTTGTACATTTTTACTTTTTTATTAACGGGTTCTACAGTGAGCTTGAAACAAAAGGAACTAATATGGCCCTTTGTTGAAATGCTTCAGTACGTATCTTTTACCAATAAGTTTTTTTTTCCATATTTGTTCTGTCAAAATAGTATGAGACAGATAATCTGTGGAATGATCAAGCTCCCCAGAGTGCTCCTATTGATCTCTGAAAATATATTCAGCTCCAAGTCAGAAACAAACAATCAGATTCAGGAAGAGGGTCTTAGTGTCAATAAATTTTGCACATGCATTTCTGAATTTGCGAAAGGTGGAGAAACAACTTACCATTTCAGAAACACTGTTTATCTACCGTCATCGGCGGCCATGCTATCTAGCCTAAGCTTTCATGACAGACTCTGTTGTAATATGTAGCAGAGACAAAGGGAAAGGGTCTGAGCAGAATAGACCAGTAAATTGACAGCACTAAGCTCCTCCTCCTGGCTCTGATTGGTTATTTCTGACAGAGCAGAAGAATTTTTCAGACGACAGCAGGACCATAAAAGAAAGTAGAAGAAATTGAATTTTTATTCTCTAGATTCTCTCTCTTGTCACGACGTGGTGAGTTTTAACAAAGATGTAAAAAATAAAAATACAGATCAAAAAGATTTAATAAATAAAAAAACTTTGTATGAAAAATTCCGTTTTTAGTGTAGAATAATCTAGTGCATATTTTAATAGTCTGACTTCTTTGTTTTTAAATGAGACCAGAGTAAAGATGTTCAAACAACGGAAAATTAAGTGAAATCGTCTTTTAACACTTTC